TGTTCTTCTTCCCCGGCGGACACAGGTTGAGCGGAAGCCAACAGGATAACAGAGCTGCTGTTCCCTTTCCAAATCAATGCACTTTTTCCATATCATGTTTCCCATATAAACAAGAACGGCATGGTTGTTTTCTTTTAATTGCAAGTTTTTCTAAGTCAGTAACATGTAATAACATGATTACATTTTAATTTGTTCTATAATAATGTGGTTGTGCTACAGTTCTCTCCTGTCCCTGACTTTAACCGAAGCCCTAGTTCTTGTTTTCAATGTGGTTGAAGTCGGTGATCCCCTGCTTTTAACACCCTTGTGTTCTTCTATGAGATTAGTGTCCAAAAATAAGTTTTGCTCTTTTATGAAATGTACTTTTGTGCTCATTATTCTGCAGTTTTTTGTTTGTTTTCTTGAAAACCCCATTCTTCCGTTTGAGTCATGCTTCCATTATAATCCTTTTGGTATATAATATTCACATTTAAATACATGGTGATACTGAATTAGACTGAAATAACTTAAATCTAAACAGAACCAGTGTACAGTCAGTCTTACCTACAAGGGAACACACAGACTCGACACCTCCATTGTAGATAGATGATGTGGCAGATGGTTCTATATGGTCCCATATCAGCTGGATATAATTGAAGACTTGCATATAGCCAGCTGTGGCCAGAGCCCACCACAAGGACCAGTAGATTAAATGCCTGCATTGTGGTCATTATGATGATTATAATCATTAGACGGGTACTTCATAAAAATATTACCATATGAATGCATTATAGAAAAAAGATGCAATGAATAACTTCATTTGTTCATTTTCTGCAGCAAAATGCAACAAAACTATGATACAGGACAACATGTGCTCTGTGTGACTTGTATCAATAAGAAGTCAGAAAAAGAAAATGCCTGGAAGAGTACGACTCCCTGAAGCTTTTCCAAAGTAGATGGCCCGCTGCGGCCACATTTTCCCTGCTGCACCAACCAACGCTGCCATAATCCTCATCCATCACCGGTTCCTCAGGCCTGTGTGCTCCCAGGGGCCCCTCCTGCTGGGACTGTGAGCGCAGAGCTGCAGCCTTTTTTCCTTTAAAGAACATGGTCCTCTGGGGCATGGGCAACCAGAAGGAGATGAGAAAAGCCATACTCATAACCCCCAGAGTGATGGTATTGATGTAGAAATAGTCCAGCCCTGTTGATTAGAGTTCATATTTCATCAGCACTCGAGGTTCTCCATGCAGTGCACTTCCTTTATAATTCTATTAGCATTCATTACTGTTATGCAGGCAAGGCACATTTCTTCAGTATGAGGACAATGTGTATAATATTTTTTATTTGCTCTGTATTTAGGTTTGGAACCCCTACCTGCAAGGGAGACCAGCACCTGGGCGAGGCTGGCGCCAAATGTATATCCAGCTAACAATGCACTGCGCAGGTAACCTGTGGCTCTTTGGTAATTCTCAACTGGAATCACACTGTAAATGTAGGAAAAGTAGGCCACCTCTGTAGACGTCACTACAGAATAGTTTACCTGTTGATGGGATTAAACTGTTTTAAAGAGACTGCAGCCTGTGGTGAAGTACATGTTCCAGTGATCCATTAACAGAGAAGTTTAATACATTTTAAGTCAGGGGATACAACACCAAGTGTTTTTTTTTTTTCATTGTTTGTGCTGCAGCTTTGATTATTCTGAATAAAACTGAACATGAGGAACATTAGTACTGTTCAGCTAGTTTCAATAATTGTTACCAGTTTATGGGCAGACCTGCAAGTAGACCATGAAAGGCAGATCCCGTGCAAAGCAGAGCAGGATATAGTTGATGACGAGGAACAGCCCCTGTACCATAATGAGGGGCTTGTACCTCAGGAAGTCGGTCAGGAGAAAGACTGGGAAGAGGAAGGCTAGATAGGAGTACGTCCAGATGGGAAACAGGTAGTTGGTCAGCTGAGGGAAACCAACAAGCACAAGATAACAGGATTAATGAAATAGGAACGTGTTTCGTTCTCTTGTCCAGTCATATCGTAAAACAGTTTGTCACAGATCCCCCTAAAAGATAAAGACTTAGACAAACTTTATTGTCATTCAGATACAGTATACAACAAGTGTACATAGAATGAAATTTCGTTGCATTGGCTCAGCACAGTATTAAAATATACAACCTTAAAAATATACAGCAATAGACTAGCTATGCATAAAAGTGGGTATGGTGATTGCAAATACTCAGTTATTTTAGCAGTATGCCATGTACAGTATAACAGACAGTATATTCCACAAGACCAAAGGAACAAGTTCAGCAGTGCAAGAATAATCTTTAGTATTTGCAGTAATTTAAATAAAATCATCTGTAGTATTAGCAGTGGAGCAAATAGTCTGTAAATTCTGAAGTGGCAGAACAGTTGTTTAGCCACTGTGCAGGAATTTACAAACAGCATACTATAAAATACAATAGAAAGAACTTATGGAGTTAACAGCAGTGCAAACATTAGTCACATCTAATGAATAATTGAACAAATATGAAGTAGAGAGCAGGATACTTCCAGACTATACAGATCAGGATGTCAAAGTATGTCAGGTAAAAATACAGTAGCAGTGCAGTGGGAGTTTAAAGTGACTGTGTCCCAAATGCATAGGAGAGCATAGTATTCCAGTAATGCATACTGAGGTAGTAAAGAGCTGACTATAATGTCCAAAGAGTTCAGCATTCTAATGACCTAGGGAAAACCCTGGTGGTCCTGCACTGAATGCTGCAGAACCTCTTTCCAGAGGCCAGCAGGGAGCACAGCCCATGGTGGGGGTGTGAGGAGTCACTGATGATGTTTCTGCCTCAGGACAAGCTGCGCTTTAGTGCTTGACCTGAATAGAGGGGAGAGAAGTCCCAATGATCTTCTCCACTGTATTCACCACTCTCCTGACATTCTTCCAGTTAGAGGCACTACAGCCACAACTACACCACACAGAGATGCAGCTGGTCAGAATGCTCTCTATGGTGCTTCTGTAGAATGTAGAGAGGACGGGTGGGGGAAGGTGGGCTCTCCTCATCTTGAGCAGGAAGTGCAGATGCCCTGTGCCCTCTTGACTAGTGACATGGTGTTTACAGACCATGTGAGGTCGTCTGTGATGTGCACCCCCAGAAAGTTGGTGCTGCTGACCACCTCCACAGCCATGTTGATGAGAAGTGGAGCGTGGCACGCTTCTGCCTCTGGTCACACCGCCTCCCCTTGCTCCTCTGTCGGCTAGTGCTGCTACGCGAGTCCGCTGCTCCAAAGGCCGCTGGGTATTATCGGCGAAGCACTGAGAATACATAAACACTCCCGAGTAGACGTGTCTATGAAGCCGGAGTCACTGAATGATTGTAATTCCAGTAGGTCTTGGCGATCATATACTAACTTACTGTGAGTATTTACTATTTTTATTATATATTATCCTTATCATTTTGGTATCCGTAACTTTCACGAGCCTATGCAGCCGCAGCCTAACAGGGCGCAGTGAATACCTGCTTGTATTTAGCAAGTACTTAAATACATACAGGTAAGTTTGTTTATAACTGAATGTGGGGGTGGGTGTGTGCCATCCTTACCACTTCTTCTGAGATATTCTTATGTGGTCCAATTAGGTATGGTGTCAAGAAGGGCTCTGCTATTCTGCAGTTAGCAAAAAACCCATAAAGTGTCAGAACTGCGGTTGGATAAGCCCAACTGGAAGACTTCAGCCTGGCCCAGCAGTCCATGTTTTTACCCCAGCAGAATTTCAGAACGATTGTCCTTGATTTTAATTTTCTAAGGCACTACCTCCGCTTCAGGGCATTAGACTTTATCTCGCACACAAACTTTATGAATCTGCATGTGTCTTATTCCCAGTTTATGAGTGTCAGACTTTAACCTATTACAGGAAAGAGAAGGAGCGATAGGAAGTGATTCAATTAAACTTATTTAGGTTTCTGTATCAGCCCGTGATCGATTATATCAGCCAAGACAGAGGACAATTTACCTGAGAAAAATAAAAAGTCTTTAGCAGACGCAGGAAAATACAGATTCCCCTTCTGCAATTTAAATGCATTGGTATTAGGAAGAAAATAGTAAGAACATCTCCACCAGCATGCAAGAATTAAATGAACCACTAGACCACTGCGGTCAAATCAGCCGCCGTTCAGTTTTCTGTGGTCAAGCCAGCCGCGCTAGAATTTGAAGTGCGCCTGTATACTTTTACAGTACATGTAAGTATATAAAGGTATTGAAACGGGCCAACGCCCGCGATTTTCAAAATAAAATACCTTAACTCCAATGCTGTATTATTTATGAACTTCCACACAAAGAATCAAGCATCTAGATTCTACATCACCCGCACTATTACCACACAAAGAATCAAGCATTTCTACTGTACCATTCTGGAGAAAACTCGCATTACAGATGTGACTCCAATGCTGGATTAATTATGAACTTTCAAGTTTAATAAAAACACTTTTTTAAAAAATATTTACAGCATAAGGACATCATTCCTAGATTCTACATCACCGGCACTATTACCACACAAAGAATCATGCATTTCTACTGTACCATTCTGGAGAAAACTCACATTACAGATGTGACTCCAATGCTTGTATTACCTATTTTTATTGTATTAACAATTTCACACAATTTGGGAAAAACAAAAAATTGCAAATGTTAGGTGTGTGTTTATAATATTATGAATGAAATGTGCATTGTTTGGAAGAAAGTCAAGGTGTCACTAACTTAATAGTTTACTAAGTGGGCCAACCCTCCCTTCGTCCACTCCATTTGGGAGAGGCGAACTCTTCACCTGCATCCGCGACCACTCCCCTCCCCTTTCCACCTCTCACACAGCTTCTGTGTCCACGGCACCTTCTCATCAAGCACCTGCTAAATCCAGTATTGGATTTCAAATCTTGCACATGGAATGTGAGTTTTCTCCAGAATGGCATAGTAGAAATGCCTGATTCTTTGTGTGGTAACAGTGCGGGTCATGTAGAATCTAGGAATGATGTCCTTATGCTGCAAATATTAAGAAAAGTGTTTTTATTAAACTTGAAAGTTCATAAATAATACAGCATTGGAGTTAAGGTATTTTATTTTGAAAATCGCGAGCTTTGGCCCGTTTCAATACCTTTACCGTAAATGTAAGTATATAGAGTATATAGGCGCACTTCAAATTCTAGCGCGGCTGGCTTGACCACGGAAAACTGAACGGCGGCTGATTTGACCGCAGTACTAGACATTATACAGCACAGTATAATGTTTAAGTGCAAAAATAATTACAATAGTTTTGACTTGTCCACCATTTGTCTATGAGTGGCTCCACCTGAGCAGCTGGGTTGTCATTTGCAATTCATAGCAGTTCACAGCAAAATTGTAAAATGTCGCATTCTGCACCATTTCTGGTTGTAATGCCTCCTAGATGTGAAATATACGTCTAGTCACTAAGTAGCTTGGATGCTTGTTTTAACCAGAGCAGACCTTACGGAAGATAGACAATAACCCCTACTTTCATCACTGTCAAAAGCTGCTCAACCTCTCACGTAATATACTCCCGAGTCTTAGGACCTAACGTTAACCCATAACCAAATAGTTCATAAAGTTCTGGAAGTATTTTATGTTCGTTTTGCGCATGCGTACGAGCGCGTGCCGCGACCCTGTCACCAGAGCAACGTTTTGTTGATAGGTGATCTGAGGTGTCCTGAACAAGTGGCAATGAAACTCAAGCGGTTCCTTCTCCGATATTATCCACCAGGTAATGCAGACAAGTTAATGTGGCCTTTACTGTAGCATTCAGTTATGTGTTTTCAAGAGAATAACTTACGCCACTGCTGTGGAGGGATGTTTTTAACGCTGACATTTTGCTGTAACTTAACATCAGCTACTCTAAAGTTGGTTAGTTAGCCGATTTATTAGCTTATTAGTTTATTTCTGCTGCTCTGCCCTAGTCAGACACCGGCATGAATAGCCTTTTTAACTCGTGTTTCTGTTATCAGGTATAATCCTGGAATATGAGAAAGGGGGATTTGTGAGGACCAAATCAATCGACCTTTTGGATTTGACTCCAGAGTGCGTGAGTTGTATCCTAACGTTATAACGCTATGATAATAATGACAAGTTTAGCTAACAGCACGGCTAATAACATGATTTCATAACAACCTTCAGTGTGGCAGTGTTGCTGCCTCCTTTATAAATGTGTGTACATCTAAATTAGTGGAAACTACCTTTATTTTCTATAGAATCTTTCATGTTATATATATATATATGGATGGATGGTTATTATGATCAGGCGATTGAACATGTGCTTTAAAATGTGTAAAAATCACATTTTCTCACCATGCAGAACAAACCCAGATGAGCTGGTGGCAGAGATCGGGCAGTCAGAGCCTCTGATCACAGAGTCCAGGTCTGATCAGGTCAAGCAGCTGATCCTTCGACTTCAGCAGAAACAGGGCCAGCAGGACCACCACAGATTCTGTTTCTCCAAGGTCAGATACCAGACATTACTGACCAATAACAAACAAAGCAAGGCAGTTGCATGCCATCTGGTTTTAAGTGAAACAACTAATTGGTTAAGACTGTGTGTTGACTGTTTAGGAAGGACTTAAATGAATGCTGGTGGGTTTTGCATTCTGTGAATATGTTTTACTCTATTTCACACAGACATTTGAAGATAGGTTGGATGATAAAATATTTGGCAACATATAGTCATAGCATAACATCTTTAGCCAATTTTTTGCCATTTGCAAAGCTTCTCTACATTTGTGGAAACTGTGAAGGCACTAGAGAGCACCAGTATTAGATTCATATTGTAGAGTAGCATGCCAACAGGATGATAACAAAAGGCGAGTCTTAGATGTGTTAAAGAATACACAAAACACAACTGGCAAGAGGATGCATGTGTTATATTTTCTCTCCTTTTTTTGCAGGAGCTTAAGGCACACATACTGCCATTGACAAATGTTGCCTTTGACAAATCAGGGTCAAGGTAGGTTTATCTGCAACACACACAAACCTAACACTTTGGAGTTTAGGAAAAGCTGCGCGGATTACTTTTACTTTTCTCTCTCCAGGTTTATAACTGGGAGCTATGACAGGACATGTAGAGTCTGGGACACAGCCTCAGGCACAGAGCTACACACGCTAGAGGGTCACAGAAATGTGGTGTATGCAATTGCATTTAACAACCCATACGGGTAATGAGCTGTTCAGCAAAACAGTAATATTTAAGGTGTGAGATATAATGAGAATCTGAGAAGAGCTTTTTAAGTAAAATTTTACAGTTCTTCGCTTTATCTCCTCTTTATTAAACTTAGAGACAAGATTGCCACCGGCTCTTTTGACAAGACCAGCAAACTGTGGTGCGCTGAGACAGGCAAATGCTTTCATACCTTTCGCGGACATATGGCAGAAATCGTATGTATGACAATCGTTTCGCTTGAATTGAAATTGAAAATGAAATTAGTCAATTAGTTTGTTTTTAGCCAATGGTTGCTACATATGCGATAGGTTACTGTAGTCAGTGATAATCCATTTTTTATGCCAGTGGACCAAGTGCTAGTAGTAGCAGGGCTCAAGGTCAAGGCCAACTGAGCATTTAAGTTGCATAGGTTCTTTTAATTAATTAATTTTTTTACCTTGGTATTCTGTTTAGGGCTTAGATAATAATCCTATTTAGTTTTGTAGCAGGATCCAGCACTAGTAACTGTAAAAGAGAGCTTTGTATTGTGTAGGTCTGCCTGGCTTTCAATCCCCAGAGTACACTGGTGGCCACAGGCAGCATGGACACCACAGCCAAGCTGTGGGATGTGGAGACAGGGGAGGAGGTGGCCACACTGACTGTGAGTTGGCTTTTCTTTACTTACTACATCCCAGTTTTTTTTGTCATCATGGCTAACATCCATTCATCAATAATGTGCTGATTAACTTTTCATGAATTGAGAAGCCTTTAATACTGATGGCCAGGACTTTTTCTACCCTACATGATCTGCCAGGGAACATAGCTGCAAGTCTTTACTGAGTCCATGATAACCTGCTCAGAGGAGTAGCGAGTCCAGTAGCGAGTCCTCTTTGATGCCCAGACTGCACGTGGGTCTGTGGTGTGACTGACTGGTTGGCTAGCACTTTCTCAGCGAGAAGCAGCTCTCTCTGTTCTTTTAGTTACTTCCCACCGTGAAGATTCATTCAAACTGACAACAGTCAACTGAGCACCAAAACCTAATCACATGCTCAGTTTTTTTATGTGCTAGTAATTTTCCTTGTCATGATCTCTGGGTTACACCATCTACAGTATATACTGTACATTACATGCAACAGCCGGTGGTCATGCATGGCTGGTCGTATACCAGTAATAGCTGGGACAGTCAAGACTACTGTGCTGTATGTATTTCAAACATTACCATTCTCCTCAACACTCCATGGGGCCTCAGAGCCTGCGTTTTAGCCTCTAAGGTCCTACAGGAATTTAGCCACTCTATTAATGGTAGCTAGAATTAGAAGGTAGATGCCAGGAATTTCTCTTGGCACCATGTAAACAGGACAAACCCATCTGATTCTTTATGAAGATTGTATCATATTATGATGGTGTAGTATGTGCAATGTTCACCTGAACTCGTTAGGTAAATTGTCTGAACTGCAAAACTCTTGTGTCCTGAGTCGTCTTCAGTTAACAATTACAAAAGCCAACAAATTCCTCTCATCATGTGAATGTTAATCTACCTTTAAACTCTATGTTCATTTTTATAATATTCCTTTTGGATGTGCATGTTTATATTCGCGAATAAGAGAGAAGGGAGTGTGAAGAGAAAGGAAATGAGACAGTCAAGGATTAATGCTCTGTCTTTGATTCCATCCAGGGTCATGCTGCTGAGGTCCTGTCTCTGTGCTTTAACACAGTAGGCAGTCAGCTTGTCACTGGCTCCTTTGACCACACAGTTGCTATATGGGATGTTGCTTCAGGAAGGTCAGACATCATTGTTATTGCAGCATATGCATCAACCTGTGCATGGGTTGTACATATTGTCAGTCATCATTTCCACTGTATACAAGCATACACAACTGACTCATTGCTGCTTTCTTTGTTTCCCAGGCGTGTCCACATACTGATGGGTCACACAGGGGAAATCAGCAATGTTCAGTTTAACTGGGATTGCTCCCTTATAGTCACCGGCTCCATGGATAAAACCTGCAAGGTCAGTTGTCATTTTGTTTATTTATTTATTAATCCCACTGAGCATCTTTTACAATGGCGCCCTGGCCAAGACCACAGCATGGCAAGTTCCAGACAAGATAAAAACAACAAAATGCAAATAAAACAATGCAGATAAGTGTACAAACCCAACAAAGCTAAGAATAAAGTGACTATAAAACAATATCAAAACTAGAATTTAGAGCTAAAAAGTAGTGCAAACGGAAAAGGAATCCTAAACCACTGCATTTACAGTAGTTTTAGATTTTGCCTAAAGGCTTCTCCTCAGGTTGCAGTGGTGTTTGCTGCCTGCTGAAACAGTTTCATAGTAATAACCATTCATTTAGTATTTTAAACTATCACCCTAGATAGGGGGCGCTTGTTATTCATATTCATTCCCCTCCATTTTCCACTCTCTCACCACCTCCAGTGCGTAAGGGCTTCATCATTTCAAGGAGAAAAATTAAATCCAAATTCCTTAATTATGCTGAGATGAGTCATGCTCACAAGTAGGAATGATCCACTTCACTACATTCCTCTAGGGGAGTTGTTTCGAATATAGCCCTTTATAACAGCTACAGCCACATCCAAGAATAGCTGACCGCACATGTGTTTGCTTGTGTTTCCTGGCAGAGTATAACAATGTCACTGTTTTGTTACATGTATGTATTTGCAGCTGTGGGAGGCAGTCAGTGGGAAGTGTGTGGCCTCCCTAGTCGGACACAAAGAAGAGGTCCTGGATGTGTGTTTTGATTTAAGCGGTCAGCTCATTGCTACTGCCTCAGCTGATGGTAAGACTTACAGTAACAGTTTATATTTCTAGTGGAGTGAGACGTTTTCCTCACTGTGATTTGCTCAAATGCCTGCTGTTTGTTATAAAATTACACAAGTTACATGTGTCGGATGCCACATCCTCCAGATTATTTGTGTGTGTCCATCTGGTTCCCTGCATGAAAACCAACATTTTGAAAAGTAAAAAAAAAAAGAATCCAATGCATGTATATTAACAAACCCTGTTTTCCCTGACTCTGCCAGGTACAGCACGGGTGTTCAGTGCAACCACACATCAGTGTCTCGTGACCCTAAAGGGCCATGATGGAGAGATCTCCAAGGTAAAACACTATACCAAAAGGGCTAAAAGTTATGTTACCAAAAAAGCCAAAATCTCACCCTGTTTGCAGAGACTTAGGACTTTCTTTCCATTTCTGTTCCTGTCTTAGATTCCACTTTCACCTTCTTTCTTTGGTCTTCTGTCTTTGCCAGCCTCTTCACAAGTCAGTTTCCATTTCCTGTCTTGGGGATGCTTCTTGGTGCTCAGTTTAGTTTTAATAAAAACATACTTTACTTTCATGGCCATATAGAGCCACCTTCATTTAATTATCCTTTACTTGACTTTGGGGAGATAAAACTATTCCGAGTGCTATAAACCCTGGCGCCACAGCCATGGTTTTTATCCTCCTCAGGTTTTTAAAGTTGACTGACCTCTATAGAATGCTGCTGACATAGTGAAAGTGTTGTAAAGTCACTTATTTTTCCCCTCCCTTTGTCATTTCAGCTATTTCTGGCATAATCTCTTATTCAGCTCTCTCTTGCTCACTCTTATCACTCATGTAGCACGCACAGTTCTGAATAAGACTAATTCACCTGACTCTGCCTTTCTTGGTAGATCTGTTTCAACCCCCAGGGCAGCAGGCTCCTGACTGCCAGCTCAGACAAGACGGCTCGTGTGTGGGATGTCCAGTCTGGAGTCTGCCTACAAGTCCTGGAGGGACACACCGATGAGATCTTCTCCTGTGCCTTCAACTACGAGGGTGAGATCATCATTACAGGTATATGCTGTCCCCACACTCAAACGCAGTAATCTGACACCCACTCGTGTATCTGAAAACCATTCACATTTTAAATGCACCTGCATGTGTTCTTTTGCAGGGAGCAAGGATAACACATGCCGTATCTGGCACTAACCCTTCATGGACTAACATGGACACAGCAATCAATCTGTGTTTACCAAGTACTGTTTCACTGTATATCGTTCTAATCTACCAACTGAATAATCTGCAGTCATGCTGTGGTAAGATACTGGTTTGCAGTATCTGTGTATGGTTCAAATGGTACATAATCTGTCTCTGTTTCTCCTGTTACTGAATGATGCTTCACTGACTGTACCAGTTTTGTAGTGGACCAGTAGACCTAGCTTTTTGTTTACTGTGGAGTTAACAGTATGGTAATTTTGCTCATAATATGTCATCCTAAGTAGTTGAACTCCATTTTTGGAGTATTTGGACATTATATATCTGATCAACTGTTGCTGAGGTTATTATGAGAACACAGACCACAGCAATGCCTGTGCATCAAGTCTGGAACCAAAGCTCGAAGGCAAATAGCTTAGTTTAGCAGCATAAAGAGGTGGCATAAAGCATAGGAAAACAGCTAGCCTGGATCTGTCCAAAGTTTAAAAATGTCTTCCAGATTCTATAAAGCTCACTTATTAACACACTACATAGTTAAAGCATGTAACTACACAGGTTTTGTACATTTTGCAAATTAAATGGCAAAAGGAGCTAGGTGGATTTTCAGATTTGACACACTCAGGCTACAGTACCTGTTTCCCCATCCCTCTAGACATTCTGCTAGGTTAAGTTGATCATCGTTTAGCTTCCTTCTTAAAACACAAACATGAGTGGTCCGTCTTCTCCTCTAATGCTTGGCAAGGAAAGTTTATTTTCCAAAATGACTTTCTGTGAAGCAGCTTGTTAATCAAATACAGTATGAACATAATCTGTAAATATAACTGCTGTGTAGAGACTTTAAGCAAGTGGAGTTACTCAGCTATTTGAAATTTATTGCTCTACACTAAATGTTGCAGCACTAAGGCATTTATGTATCATTTTCATGAGCCAGTTATCTGCCAAAGGTGATCTGATACATCTGTTCCCTCTACCTTAATGTTTCTGTGATGTGTAAGAAGCAGCACAAAACAATGAGGAATGTTGATTCACTAGCTTCCCAGCTGGTATTGGACTATGGCAAACTTACCCAAATATCATATGCAGTCTCACTGCATCTGTGACCTGCTATTGGGAAAACCAGGCAATGTAATGTAACATTATTATGGATAAATCTGCCACTAAACAGTGTTCACTGCCTTTGTTACGAATGATCACAACTGCTTGTGTTTCACATCACAGAAATTTAATGATGCCAAAAGGTAAATACATTCAATTCAACTGTGACAGTTTACATCTCAAATTACACTGTGCTTCCCCCAATGCTGATGTAACACTAGCGTACAACAAAGTAGAGAAATAAACAGACCAAATTCACATACAAACTCAACATTACAAACCTCACTGTCTTTCTGACAGTAAAAGCTAGAGAGAAGTCCACTACTCCAAGGTGCAGCAGTTCCAAATCTACAGTATATACAGTACAGCTATCCAAAATAATCAGTTCTCAAGTAACATGAACAAGATAACATACATACATACATAGAACTGAACTTCAAGGTCACAACAGAGGTATGTTATTCAGTGAACACAACGAAGACATGGACATTTTGCTTACATTAAACAAATGTGCACTTTTAAGTGGTTCTCAACATGAAACAGTTTTTTCTGGGCTTACCTTTCAATGGCCTCTTTTTTTTTTATGTAGTTTTGATACAAAAGGTTTAAGCATGTCTAGTTGTGGTAAGAGCTGAACCTGATTTTCCTACCTTCTGTTGGTACTTTGGGTGCGTGTGTTCATTTGGAATAAATAAATAAACAATTTGGTTGTGAGAATCTGTAAATATATAGTTATATATAAGCTGGAGCAGTTAAAACCTGCTGACTGACCTGATCATCTGTTGAAGGCCAGTTCATTCCCGTGAGGAATGCCCAGCCCATATACAGTCTGCTTGCGTTTGCTCGTGTCTCGCTAGAGAGGTGAATCTGAAAACAGGATGCTTTTATTAAAGGGAAACTGGTCGAATCATGGCTGTGCACAGACAAAACAATGTTTATAGAAAGGGTGAATGAATGAAATTGTAAAGTATGCCGACTGCATTAGAGACATGATGGGATGAGACAGTATGGGACAAACGTTAAGAAATGTGACTGAATGAGTAAGCACTGTTGTTTTTGTTTGTAGTATGAGGAAGCTAGACCATCCTACAGGACCTCCAAAAGCCAGTCAAACAGGCTAGACAGAGACCTGCCCTCTTGCTCCTCTTTCTCGTTTAGCTTACAGAACTGAACCATGGCGCTGAACAAGTCCGCGATCCGCCACGACTTCTGAGACATCATATGGACCACCCTCTGGAACTGAGGGAAAACACAGGGAAGCCAGCAGTAAATATAAGGTCTATCAGCTTCATGTACTCTATGTACATGTGATGCACATTACATGACTCTTGGAACTAAAGGCTCTATTCCATTATAAAGCCTCGTCCGGTTCTTTCAAACCAGGAACTCCGAGGGATGACTCAGACCACTTGAGTATATAAAAAATATAACCGTGCTGGTTTATTCAAAGAGTCACAGGCAAGAATTCACACTTCCAGTCCAGAGATCTTCCAACCCCCAGGCTGCCAAAGCAGCCCGGAAACCCAAAAGACCCCGAACCAAGCATTGCTATACAATATTAATCCTTTCTGGGCTGTCGAACCGTGACGTCACCCGATAAGCAAGCCTTGCAGCTGCTATAACGTTTAGCCAAAACATGAGGAAAAGTCAAGGTGCGTGACTGTTGTTTTCGTGGTGTGTATCTAAAACAATTGGACATAACCTTACACATTAAGACAGATATTAAGACTAGCATTACAGTTGACACTAACAGCAGTTTTCCTGTAACCTTGACGTGCCTGCAGTCTGCACTGCAGGCTGAACAGTTAACAGCCTAAGCCAGTCACCCTGTCTGCACTAAACATTCCTAGACAACAAATCTCTGAATATCTATCTAACTAAGAAATAACCTAACAGAACACACACTGGGAGCGGTGCGAATTCAGTGCAGGACTACTAAAATGGGTGAGTACTTCTGTATTTTATGCTTTTGATGCACGTTGATGCCAGGAAAAATCAGACAATAGCGTATCCTGAACCGCTCCGCTGTTGATGCACGTCAGTTCGCCACCAGTGTGTGAGCTTTCATTGAAAATAATGGGTGGAGGTGTTTTGACACGCATCACACGCTGCCTGTGTGTGATGCCCTTAAATCATTTCCAGAGAAATTCCCAATATACTGTATGAGCCTTTGTCAATTTAATCACTAGATGATATTTAACATTAAACATTTTAGACATTGAAAAAGTGACTTGAACCTGTAAGTCTACTGCATTAGAGCCGTGCCTACCTTTGCAACCCTCTTCACTTTGGACTTCCTGAAGTAGAGAGCAGGAAGCCCCAGCTCAGAGGCAGCAATCCATTGTAGAGCTACCCTCAGCTCCAAGTCCACACCGTCGGGCTCAAGGTCGCAGTTTACAACCAACAGCTCCCTGAGGTTACTGCTGCTGCCTGCTGTCCTCGCTGAACTGCTCTCTGAAAGATCAAAAGGTGACAGCACATATTGTATTGGAAGCACATCCCTGCATAATACAGCTTGAATCTTAGGTATGTTAGGTTATGTTGTGCTTACCATCAAAGCACCGCAAGGCTGCACAGACCTTTAGTTCTTTTCTGTTAGCTTGGACATCAAAAGCCAACTTGCCAAACCTCCACATACAGTCATGCAGTATGTATGCTCGTGTCTATCTACTGCTTTTCTGCTTTCCTTGAAGAGATCTCTCCTCCGTTTGCTCTTCCTGAGGTTTCTTTCATTTTTCCCTGCTAAAGGGAGTTTTTTTTTTTTTTTTAAGAGGAGTTTTTCCTTTATCCGATTTGGGCATCTAAGGGCAGCGGGTGTCATATGCTGCAGAGCTTATAAAGCCCCTTGAGGCTGATTTGTGATAATGGGCTATACAAATAAAATTTGAATTGACTCGGCATCATAAAATATCAATATCCTGAACTCAATTTTGCTCTGAGATGATCTTTGCTGGGGTCATTTGTCATGTTGTGCTATCACTGCACACATTCTTGTTTTGTTTGGCTAAAAGGTTGCTTAGATCATTTACATCTCACTTTACAGACTGTGCTATTTCAGGATGGATAACCTTAGCTGCCTGTAGCTGACTCGTAGAAGACCTAGAGATCCCATGGACGAGAACGACAGACTGAAAAATGACACACTGAGCTCAGCTCTCAGGAGCTAACACTAGCTAGCAGCTGTCGGCAGATAACACAAACACTGCAGATGAATCAGTTTGTGTCCTGTCGATGCTCAAATTCAACGTTTGGATATATTTGAAGGATCTGCTACTGTATGTAGCTGTAGGGGATAATACTTTTTTTTTTAAATACCATATACTGTAGATTTATGTATGGTATATCTGAGGAATAGCAATGGTGCATTTAGCCAACATTCAGCAACTTCATGTTCTCTTTAAGAGGCTGTCCCATAACGCATCTAATTAGTGAGTTATTATTTTGGTGGGTTCTATTTGATCAATTAGGCTTACATCATTTACAAGAGATTTGTCATTACATTTATAGCAGGCAGTCATGCTAAAGCTGGACATAAACACACTTCAGGCACTTCTTTATAAACGGTACACATCACACAGCAGATTTTTTTTTTCCTTAAGGTAATTAAAAGAATACTGTTGCTATTTTTAAATACCCTGGGGCACCGCAAAACTGCCTAACCCTTTTCAATTATCGGTGACCATCCTTAATTCAGAGAGGACAATCCCCTCTATTCAAACTGTACCCAGAGTTAGTCAGCAGCTCTTGGTGAGTAGAGAGATGTCTCATCTGAAGAGGCAGGCGAATAAGTTGATAACACCGAGATGAAATGAGAAGCTTTCATTACACTTACCAAATACATTCTCCTTGGTTCCTGCAGGGTGGCCTGTCTCTGTCTCCACACTGTATGGAAACATAATGATTTAAAGTTAGTGTAATACATACAGTAATATTTAAGTATTATGTGCCAGACTATTTCTTCTAATGTACAGCAAGAAAACATAAGCCTATTTCCCAAATTGAATGGTTCCTTTAATACAGGTGTATACCATGAACTGTTAATCTTACAGTGTTTTAAACTTTTACAGGCGAGACCGATGTAGCTAAAAATGCAGCAGACTGGAGAGGGTTTTATGTCTATTCAACAGAACATTATCTGTGCTAGAATGACACCTGTCATCTCGTCAGCTAGTCACAGCCTTACGTCAGCCAGTTGCTGATGAGAAAAAGCAATATGCTATCTGCAGACTTTGTATCATATTGTGTCAAATGTCATCATGGGCATCAGAGTTACCTGACTACTGTGTTCTGAGTGGGCGCATCAGAAAAAGCATCCAGATCGGCCAGACCTAGGCTGGATGCGCTGCTGTTCCCGTTCCTGTAAACCAATCAAATATCGAAGAGAGAGAGCATCATTTGCATGTCGTCTCAAGATACACAACACGTTGACTTGTGAAAAGAACAATAACCAGGCACAGCGATGCAGGTCATGTTGTTTGTTAGCTGGTGATTAACATATAAATAGCAGTTGCAGCAGAACTGGATGCTCGAGGTGACAGAGCTGGTGATTTCTGTCTGGCAGCAAGCCTGTCAGGATATGGTGATGAGGATATCTGAAGGTACGTAGGTTTAGCAGATAGGACAGGCAGGGTATGGGTGCCAGCCTTGCCTGTCCACCCTATCTGTGGACGGGGAGGGTATGGGTGCCATCCCTGATTCATGTTGTGTTACAGCATGAATCAGGGATGAGGTGGAGTTAAAATAGGCGGGTAGATGGTTTGCAGGGAACAGCGAGTGTTATGGTGGCGCAGTTAATTACAGTAAGCAACAAGCTGGAGTCTCACTGAGCACATGAAGCCTTCCTGCTTCCTCTTTCCTCAGGTCAGCACCTTTAACAATAAATGCTTTTGAACATGCAGTTTAAAATGTTTACTTTGTATTAGTAATAGCATTTGGATCATCACAACTTGTTTTTAAAGCAAAAAAAAAAATGCAGGGTATCTTCTATTATTCCACGTAAGGAGCACAGAGCAGTGTCTCCACACTATTTGGTAAAGGTTAAAACAGATGAGACATTGAAGCAGAGAATGGAGCAGCAAATGTTCTGAACTAGAGGTTTTTGATGTGAGAGATCATAGCCCTGTTCCACTGCAGCTAGTTGTGTGTGGGGTGCAGACAAGGTGTAGCCCTATATGAGAGCTATGGAGAGGGCTTTGTGGAATGAGCTCTCTACCATACACCAGCCTCAGCAGGTGTGGACATTGCACCAGCAGGGTGTAAATTGCCATTGGCACAGGGGAGCACAAGTGTCGGTAGCAAATGGGCCAATGAGAGTGGGGTGAGAGTGGCATTAGCAGCATCAAGGAGCAATGGTTACTGACCCCTCGCTCAGCTGGATAAAACTACTGGTCTCCTCGTGGGGGTCATCCTCGGGGGTTATATGGGACCAGCTCCCCATGCTCTCTTCACTGCTAGCACTCATAGAACGCTTGTCTTTCTTCACTACTCCAGCCACCGCCACAGCTGGCCTGTCCCTCTCACTGCTGGGGAGAGCAAATCGCAAGATGGTGGGAATGACTAGTTGTGCACAATGTCTGCTGCAAAGAGTAATTACCTGTTCTCAGTCTTGTTCAAATGTTCCTCTCAACTTGTATCAGTAAACTTTTTTTAAAACATTATAATACATTTTAAAAGGCAGTTTCTGTTCTAAAATTGACAGATCTACAGTGACCTCATTCAAACTGGAATTTGGAGTAACTATGCACTACATAAAAAGAAATCTAATGGCAGTATCTTTAAAGAGCCCATGGCATGCTTTTGTGTTTTTTCTAACTTATCTACAGTGTTACCACAATGAAGTGTCATCTTAAACATGACTGAAAGCTCAAAAACGATTACGACTATTTCTTTGAATAGTCATAATTTCCAGACAGTTGCATGCTCACACAAGCTTCCCTCACATCCACAGGTGCCATTTTAAAAGCAGAATTTTTCCACTGTATGCGGTTTTATCACTATATTTTCCCTCCTGCTGCTGCACTATGACCAGAGGATGAGGAGAAAAATACAGGGCCTGAGGTTACTGCATGTCCGGAATTGTTCCTGTAAAGGGACTCACTGTTTTACCTGACTGGGTCTAACCTACAAGCAGCAGGCCAGTGAATGATCAGCTCATTAATGCTGGATTCCTCCAGAGCACAGTACCTGTTTGTTTTGACTGTTTGAGGCCAGTGTGTCTGCCACGTGATCTGTTACTGGTTGGCGAGAGAACTTTAATGATCACTGATGTTCTTGTCGGTGCAATGCTACTTGTTAGAAATTTATGTGGTCACCAGAAATGCCTGGGATTTGTGGGGGAAGACGCGGCGATCACCAGTTGGATTTACTGCCCTTGGAGCTACTTGAATGGGAGTGATGTTTCCACTAATTGGTGGGATGTAATGGTAAGTTGAAAAATAACACATATGTTGCATATGTGTTAATGTGTTGTTTCTGTAGAGAGAATTGTTGTAAGGCTGGAAAAGTTACTGTGTCTGCATTATGCCAGTTAAAATAGGGGGTTTCTCAACTACCCGCTTTATTTAGTGTTACACATCTCTTTTCATTGGTACATATTCTGTTCACCTATCGATGGAGGAGAAATTCAAATTAATTAGCGCTGTTGTGGTTCCTTGTGCTGTCCACTTTCATATTCTGGCTCGAACATGTCAGGTAGGATTTGAGGTACTGTCATTGTTGAAAACGTAGCTGTATTTGTCACTGGTTTTTGTTTATACAGTGTCATGGCTTCCTGACCAGTCAAAAAGTGTTCCCCCATCAAGATGTTTCCCCTGTTCAAAACGGTTGACGCCCCTCAGGGGTTTTGGTTAGGATAACGTTAGGATTCAGGTGAGAGGAAACATCTCGATGGGGAAACAGATTTTGACACACACACTGGCAACAGGAGTTGTGCACGCGCACTCACAAACTATCTTCTCCTTGTTAGGAGGAGGCTCTCTGGTTTTATCATTCTGAAATAATTACAGACTGGAGTTATGGTGGGTCCAAAGCTAATCTAGAGGTACCCAAGATTAAACATTAAATGACTGGAAATGAGCATGCCATGGGCACTTTAATGCCTCATCAAACTGCATTGCCTAGGAGCACTGTTGGACTGTCAGTGTTTTTAAGAAACTGCTTAAAATAAACCATTATGTGATGATTGAGGGTGACCATCCTTGACAATTCCACAGGGAAATCAGGCTTTATTGACTAGGCGAGTGATTGAGCTCACAAGGGACAAAAAGACATGCTTCACTCGTTCCTGGATTACGTGTATTGTCAAGAGCAGAGGAGTGTGTCGTGTGACTCTCCTGTGGTTTGGGAGACTTTCAGCTGCTGAACATCTAAATTTCATCAAAACACTTGGTAAAAGACCAACTGATTCTTCACATCTGGATAGTATATTTTCACTTTACTCCACATATATTCATTACGCCAAGAACATCCATGAAAATGTCTCCCGAGAGAGTCTACACTCTGCTGCCTCTTTTCAAAGGCCACTAAGACACTTCAAGGTTTTAGAATTAGCAGAATCTTGCTCAGTCTTTGTTTCGCTACAATGTCAGACATGGAAGACTGACCATGTCTAATAATGTTATAATCAGCAGGACTACATGCCATTATTATTACAAATGAATTGACTTATATCCACACCATTCTTGAGCTAACCCATAGCTAACCAATGACTAAGCAGCACAAGTGAACTTTAATCTAATGCCACATCCAAATTCTTTTCTATTTTAGTTAAGCCAGTGTAATCTAAATATCTATGGCCGTCTACTGGTTTTAGCCAAATAGGAGTGCAGCTTATACTGATCAAGGTGAGTTTTACAACCCCAGAGTGGATAAAAGATTACACTTCTCAAAAGCCATCTACACACACAACACATCACAGAGACAGTGTGAGTCACAGCCTAGCCAAATGTTTGTCAGACCTCACACACTGCTAAAATAGATGACTTTTCCCAGTGAATTTCTCTTCTGAGTGCCTGCTACTATTTGATCAAACTCTAAAAATAGCTCTTGTATGCTACAACTATTGCAGGGAGTGGTTTTTACTTGTTGGTGCTGATTTTCTTAGACAACTTTTAATGTTTATCTTAATAGCCATGCACTTTTCCATGCCTCTGTCTTACACCTGTCACATATATATCTCTACCTTTCATATCTACAGTATGATGATTCTGCTGCTGGGCTATGAAAAACTTGCTGCCTAACAGAGGGACCTGATTTGCACTGGAGTGTGAGCGCTGTAGTACCTGCTGCCATTGGCTGTAGATCTCTCCGTACGCTTGGGAGTTGACATGTCTGGGGGTATTTCCTGTGGTCCTCCTCCTGTCCTGTCAGAGGTTAAAAGAGACTCTTCATCTCTGTGGGCTCCCTCAATGTGGATCAGCGGAACATCTCTGGGACCCCTCACGCAGGATGCACGGTTGTTACCAACCCCTGCTCCAGGACCAGCTTGCTCCTGGCTGGACCTACTCTGAATGCAACTTAAATGAGACTGTTTGAATCCCCTCCTTCTTTCGCCAACAGGTTTGTGCGGCTGTGGGTGCGACCCGGGCATGCCCCCAGCTACATCTTGCTGGCTTCCGAGTGCAGACTTGCCGATATCTACAATGTCAGCTGCCAAGCGATTAGCAAACTGCTGCACATGGGGCTGGGAGTCTCCTGCAGCCTCCAGCTCAATACTGTCCTGTGGATCAGCAATAATTTTGTTCTTCCTCATCAAGGACTCAATGGAGCTTGTCCAGGTATCATGAATCAGCATATCAGTAATCTGGTCAGTCTTACCCCTCTGATAGAGGCAGGTGTCTGACTTGCACAGTCCTGTGGCTGACACTGAGTTGGTGGGGAAGATATTCAGCGAGTCACCATGCACATTGCGGGCAAATCCATCAAAAGAGTTGGCCTTAATGGGCGAGCTGACAGTTAGTCGTGAGTCTGAGGAGCGCCGGTCTGGGACAGAAGACTGTCTTATACAGAAGGGTGTTCTAGGAGAAGGTGGGAACAGGCTGTTGCTCCACTCTTTAGTCTTGGCAATGCCATACTCTTTGTTTTCCTTGTCCATATCCCGAAGCATAAACCTGTAGAACTCTTCTGTGATGCTCTCCGTGCTCGACTGTTTGGACAGGCACGATGATGCCCTGACATTAAGGTGACCATTTTTCTTTGACGCAGCCTGTTGCACAGCTGCAGCTAGAATGCTGCTTGCATTTTTCCCTGCATAGTAGTCCAGCAGAAGGTCAAAGCCCCTGCCCTCCGTCTCCATCTGGTTTACCATGAACCGTGAGAACTCATCTGTGATGCTCTCACAACTGGACTGCTTAGAGATGGAACTACCACGACTCAAATTCTGACCTAACCGGCTGCCAGGGCCCAGGGTGTTGGGTGTGCCTGAGGGGTCTGTATCTTCTTCTGGAATACTCTCGTAACTGGACGCCTTCCCACGGCTCCACCTCTCACACTGCAACCTGCTGCGTGGCTGGCCTGTTTTGGAGGTATCCACTACATTAAGCTCAGGGCAGTTCATGATCCTGGCCGTGACCTCAGAGGCAAAGAGGGCAAATGGGTCCTGTGGTTCATCGGGGTTGACTGACTCATCCACCACCCGGTTCACAAGGCGTTCCATCAGTTCTGGCTGCTCCTCAGTTTTCCTCTTGATTTCACTGAGGCGCGGTGCCCGATGTTTCTTGGAGGTTGCATTGCTGTTCTGGCCCTCTTTCCTTCTGAGTACTGTGCGACAAGCAGGGATCAAGTAGGCTTCCGGCCCTTCTGTAAACGTTCCTTTGAGGGCACAAAACCAGGGCTGTTTCCCTGTGGAGTTCTCCAAGCAGATGGCTGCTAATTCTGTGGCCATCGACACCACTGTAGCAGCCAAATCTTCAGCGTAGCAAGTAATAGGTGTCCTGGACTCTGAGTCCATTCTTAAGGAGAGCAGAGAACTGCAAGAGTTGAGGGAAGATTGGGGGGAGAGGGAGGACTGTCTGCTGTCACTGCCTGTCACTAATCGTCCCCTCTTCTCAGTGCTATGAACTGGGATTTCACTCAAAGCTTCTCTAGTGGCACCACTGTACTGCTGGACATGATGGTGGTCAGGGAAATCCTTGGCAGGCAAGAAGGTGGATTTAGACTGAGTTTGTCTGCACGATGTCTGCTGCTGTTGCTCTTTGCTGTGTACTGTGGAGGAAGATACAATGAGATCACCTTCCTCAAGCACATATTTCTTCTTTGGAAACATGCTAAGCTTATCTGTGGTGTGATTCTCAATATTAGTGGACTGGCTACTGCCAACTAAGCACTGTAACTGACTGAATGGATCCCTGATCACCCTGGTGCTAACGGTCTCTCCGACACAAGTTTCATCTTCTTGTGTCTCAACTGACCCTTGGTCACATCTAGAGATGTGGCTGACTTTCTTCTGTGTCACACAGAGGATATCAAACAGCAAAGTGTTTACACTGTCCTGCAGAAAAACCTGGAAACTTGGTGCATTTTTTCCGGTACCCTCCTGTTCTTTTTTCCTTTTTGCCTTCTCTAAAGCATGCTTAAATAGGCTGTCTGCAACATCATTTATTAAGTCATCCACCTCTCTTTCATCCATGTAGGACTTTTTTGGACAAGTAATGCCATCTACTATTTTGTTATGTGTGGCCTCTAGCAAGTGAGCTACACTTCTGTAACCTTGTGGCTGAGTCAGCACCTCCGCTGCTTCCCTGTGGAGGACCTCAGCAATGTTGGCACGAAACGCTTCAACACTTGTACCCTCTGCCACACTGCAGTGCAGTGTGAAGGCTGCAGAGGCCTCGGCAGCAGACATCAGACCCCGGGATGCTGTGTAGACTTCTGTTGAGTCTGCGTCCAAATCGCCGCCCTCCCCTGACTCCTCTGCTAGCTCCACAGCTGCGACAGCACCAGCTACCTGAGCCATGCCACACATGGCTGCAGAGAAGGAGTAGTCACCTCTCTCCTCTGGGTCCTGCAGGTCTTCCTCTGTGTCCTCCTCTGAAGCAGATTCAATAGTGAACTGTTCTGTCAGCTGAGGGGTTGTAATGGTGCCAATGACACTGGCAGCACAGGCCAGTGCCACCTCTACATGTTTGTGGTGGGAAATATAAGCCTGTGCCCCATTCTCTGGCATCTCTCTGGATTTGGCAGTGGCATCTTGGTCAGGCACATGAGACACTTGGATCTCTGGCCATTCTGCAGCCCCATCAGAACTGTCTGGGCTTTGAACTATAACTATCTTCGGAAGTTCAAAAGAACAGGTTCGCTGTTGGGAAGGCTCTCTGCTCTTTGAAGAGCCAGTAGAGATGGAAGCATGGCTAGCGAGGGACACACTCACAGCAGCCTCAGAAACAAAGGAGGTTTCATCTTGAGAGAGGCGTATAAAGGCATCTTGCAGTACTGATTCGGCCAGATTGGTGGCATAGTGACCAGCTGATTCCTGAGTGTGGAAGCTTGCTTGCTGGTACCCTTCCCTCTTCACCTCAGCATCCTCCCTGCTCTGTCGGTGGACCAGCTGTCCCCGCTGACATGCAAGTCTGACACAGTGTTTCTGTGCAACCTCTACCAAGCTCTCTGCCAGGTCGCCACTCTCTGGCTCTGCGATGAGACGGGGGGAAACAGAGAAAGACAGGGAATGAAAAATGTCCCCACTGATTAGAAAGCAGCTCCATCAGTTTACGGAGTGTCACAGCAAGAATATTACCCTGGTCTCACCCATCCACAAACTCCCTTCATCACACAATGGCAATATATACATACTTCTCTCTTGTGTTACACATTCTCAGTTACCAGAGAAACCTTTGTGTTTGCTACACAACTGCCTCCATATTATGAATATAAAATTGTACAGTATTTATATGAGGTAAGTGTAGTAGGAGTGCCACCACTTCCACAGTTATAATCGTGAGACAAACCAAACTAACAATGTCAACACTACTACTAGTATAGAGCTGATATCTATTCTGATACAGGCTTAAACGTCACGGATGCAGATAATGTGTGATTATCAATAAGCTTATCAACTGAATTGCTGCTGGGTGGCATGTGAATTTCCTACCACAGATCAATAAGGTCATATGATTGATTAGACAGTATTTTTTGTATTAATCTGGTTCTGAAAAGTAACTAAAGTTATAAAATAAATGTAGTGGAGTGATGTTGATGTGTAAAATAGCACAAAATCAAAATACTCAAGTACAGATCCCTCAAAATTGTACTTGGTTACCTTCCACCACATCAAAACATGTTCTGGAACAGCCACTCATGCTGCACACTATGTGGTCAAGGCTCTCTTTTTTAAGGTTTTGAATGAATAACATACTGACTCAAACTCGCCATGTTTACATGGGCACGTGTGGGATGATCACTTTGTTGTTGCATACTGAGTCATCCAAAGGACAGAGAGCAGACTTAAGGCAACTGTGATTAATTCAGTCATGACAGATTAAATGTACACTGGTATTAATGGTCAGCTTGCATCAACACATGCAACATTTGGTCCTGGAACTACGATTATTTTCAGTATATGTAGGAATTGATCCAGTTTCACTTGTATGACATTTTTGACAATTAAAAGTCAGTTGGATCTTAATCTCTAGTCACAGAAGGTCATGTGATACATCTGAAATTGTCTTTACTGCTTTTTTTCTTTTAATGAGAAAATAGTTAAAACATTACACAGTATAGTATGTTGAATATAAAGGAAGTAATATGGATTGATGCTAAAAACCAAAAACCTGTTCATTGGCCTTATATTCCACCAGTTTTCATCCAACTTCATTTAAAGGTTTTTGAAAGAATCTGCTAAAAAATAAACACAAATGCATCTTTAAAAAAAACTTGTATAGTGGTGGTGCTGGTAAGAAGGCTCACCATTTCTAAAGCCGTCATCCTCGCTGTCATCACCAAGGTGCTCCGAGGCAGTCAGGAAGTCTTCTTCTATGGATGAGATGGAGCGATTGGTGTCGTCGTCGACCCTCTGCCCTGTTGCCCAGCCATGCTGATGCTGTTGCTCCTTGCCCCACTGCAGACCAATCAGAAACTTGTTGATTTCAAAGATGATGCTCCTGGGTTGAGTGGAATGTCTCTGCCCTGAGCACTGAACCAGGCACACACCTGTGCTTCTCTGCTGCTGCCTGCCCTGAATGGAACATGCACAGATACCTATTATACATGCACACACAGAGACACAAATCACATCATGTATATACAAAGTTCTACATGCAACACACACCAAGCATATGCAAGTACATAATTGAGAACAAGTACACTGGGTAACAAATTGATTTAGTATTAAGCACCATAAAGACTGAGTGAGTTTATGTAGCTACCACATCTGTTTTTCTCCCTATATTAACACATTGGACCGGTTTGTGTGAATGTAATTGACTGTGCATGTTCCTCAGGTTGTGTACTGATTCTAACAGTGGGTTTATACAGTGATATATTTGATGAGCCTCAAAACAGTTGTAAGGCAGCATTGTATTTTAAGATAAATACCAATAAAAGCAGAAAAATATTAGTTTGTGTGTCTATATGTTTTATACTTCAAATTATTTTGAAAAAAGCTCAATATTTTCTGTGCAGTCGTATGTTCGGTGCCTACAAGTTTATAAATGTTGGTTTTCTGTGTAACACAGTCAAATGCTATGGAGAACAAGATGTTTTTACTGGAGTCAGTGGGGAAAATTACTAGAGAAAATGAACGAGCTTCCTTCTGTGTACTTCTATTTTTAGCACAAAAGGTTCTAATCACACACAACTGCTGCACAAAAGAACAGCTTGCACCCTCTGCCTCGTACTCTGTGCGAGTTAATTCAAAGGCTGAAAATACTTGCAAGGATTTAAAAGCATCACTGCAAACTCACCTGAGAGGGGGAGTGTGGGTGTGTTTGGCAAGTATCTGAGGCTTCCAGACCACCAAGCAGTAGGATCTCATTTTCTTTTGGCTGGTGGACAGTCAGTAATTCAATGAGCTTTGGTAGGTCTGGAGACACAGACGCCAATTTCTGCAGGAGACATGCCGAGCACAGAGACAGTGGAAGATGATACCGAAAAGCCATTTATTCAAGCAACTTTAACACTGAACATAAGGTGTTCTCCGTGTTTCCAACTCAGACACATAAATATACAACCCTTCCTATGAGAAGTCTTGAACCATGTGGCATGATTTTGAACACCTACCGCTGCCGCCACCAGCCGTGAAAAGCTGTCAAATCTGCATATTATCTAAACAATCAACCCTCTAATTCTGGTTAATGATCTTGAATCCATGGCAACTGTTTATATGTGAAATACAATGAACTCCTGAGAGATAAAAGGTGGGTGGGAAAGAAAAAGGGAAGCACACAGGAAGGACAGGAGGAGGGAAAGAACATGTGTGGATGAGGGATCGTCTTACCTTTACACTTCTGTCATCACGACAGTCTGTTTTCTGAGGGTCCAGATTTACAAAACAGATCTGAGACAGAAAGAGAGAGAAAGACGGCATTAGAGCGACAGTGTGAGCTGAGCAGGTGTAAATAGTGTCCCAGATGTCAGATTTGATGATGAGTTCTGCTGTTACACTAAAGTTACCGATCTGCCTTTTCCGCTACCACTTCTTTATCACAAAATCTACAAACCAGACAGAGTGACAGCTTTCCATTAAGAGACTCTCCTCTTAAAAACTATAGCAGCTGTCAGTCATGTTTGAATAACAACTGAAAGGTGCCGTCTCAAAGGCAGAGCCCTTTCTAAGGAGGAGCTGCTACTGTAGCAGCAGTTTAAAATATCAACAATTTTCTTTTCGTCTGTCTCTAATTTTCTGCTTTCCTCCTCCTCTGTTGCTGCTGTCACACTCTCTGCATCTGTCTCCCTCCATCTCACCTGCCTTCGCCTTTGGTTGCAGGTTTAATGGTCTGTGATGGAGTCCCCGTGTCAGTGCTGGGAGTCTGGGACTGTTCGACGACTGCCGTTTGATTCTCCAGCACACACTCTCTGATCTATGTTGGCATAAGTCAGTGCTGTGTGGCCACATGAATAAAGCACAGTAGAAACAGAATTTGGGGGTGGGAAGTGGGGTTTAGCTCCCATTTGAGCACACATACCCTATGTGAGTGCAGGGTGTTGTGTCTTAAGCATGAATGCATTTCTATATAAGCTACCATGCTTGTCATTACTAATCAAACCTAGTCATAATGTGAGTCACTGATGCAAAACATGCACAGGTGGAATCATGCTGTCTCCATATCCTATCTACCTGCTGCTATCTTTCCCCCTTCTCTCCTCTGTGGACCTGCAAAAATATATATAGTTTCAAATAATCACACCTTGACACACATCACTGTCTGAAAAAATTCCCTTGAACTACCTGAGGTGCACCTGATTCATCCTGCTGGGCCTCTAAACAGCCTCAGTGCTTGTGAGATACATTCTTCATGATTGTAATCAGTTTTTCCATTTATCTTAGTTGTACTCAACATCTACTCCCAGAATGTCATACCAAGGTACAACAGATCGAAGTCAATATACTGCATATTCTTTATTTCTTTTTTTAATCATCTTGCTGCTCGTTTTCTAGCTGCAATAAATTTGAGTTTAAATGTCAAAAATAAGACTAATTTTGCTGTACTCTGCATATTTTCCTTCTTTTAGGAGACATCCTGGGTGGGCTTCATCACAGTAAAAGCTAAGATTAAGAAGGAATAATATCAGGCAACAACAAAAACCCGTCTATAAAGCCAGTCAGGATGAGCCAAAATGTCCTTCAGCTGAAGCATTAATGCAACACATTCAGAACAGGCCAATTTCCCTTTCACCTCCAATCTGGTATCCTGCAGTCAAACATAATATTTTCCAAACTATCAAGTCTAATGTGATGAAGATTGCTGCTTGAGAACTGAGGCAGTCGAGTATAAAAAATGTGAAGCCAATGACAGCTGACAATGTCTGAGCTAGATCAAACCAAATCTGTGTGTTTCTCCTCTGCCATTTATGGACTACATGTCACCTACAACTTCTATCTGAATACCTAGAGACCTTCTGCTTTGATGCTTCTCCCTCATAATAACAGCCAGCCATTCACAGAGGAGTACAAACTGTCTGCTCATTTGCTTGTCTGTGATGCCAGATCAGTTTAGAGACTGTGATGAGGACCTGTTCAACAGAACAGCTGTTAAATGTCAATGACATACTCATAGGACCTGAGATTATTCTTCACCATTCACTGAAAATAAAAATAGTGGCCTCATTTTACCGCTTGCTGACCCTAGTATGATAAAAAAAAAATATGGCCTTTAAATTCTACAGTGCACTGCGTACCATTCATTGCCGGAAATAATGAGTTCTCATTTTATTTTTGCACCGTATCTGGATGTTGATGCATCCAATTCTAATTTGGAGCTCTAATTTAGTATATCCATACCACGAGAGAAGAACTGGAGGTTTGGTACCCTTGCTCAGGAGCACCTCAGCCGTTCTCACATGTACTGATATTGGAACTCATCCCAGTAAAGCATTCAGCGACGCCTACCCCCTGCCTGCCAACACATCGCCTGCAGATAGCACACAGTTTGCGGAAAAGGCAGGGCGAGTGATCCACGAGTTTGACCTTGAGAAGGGTCAAAGCAATTTACCCCCATCATGTGTGGAAACCAAGAGCCAGTTGTTCTAAATTTGGGAATCAGAGGATCATCAAGTCATCTGTGTCCATGTCTGAGAGATGAGCCCAGGGACACGCTCCGATTCTCTCGCTTCTCCACAGACATACTAGACGACACAAGCTTTGCGTCAGCCTGTCTCAGAAGAACTGATCATGTAAACATGGAGAAAACAAAGAGGGAGGGGGAAAAGAAATCCAGACACAGATAGGATGAAATTAATTGATGTGGGGCTAACACTGATACCACAGATGTGATGCTCCACATAAGAGACAACCTAGGAGAAGTAAAATTTCCCATTTTACTGCATCACTGATTTTCTCTCTATAGTTTTAGACAACTACAATTACAGTTAAGCCCCCAATAACAGTTTTTTTGGCCATTTTGGGGCAGCAGGAACAAGCTGTAAACACAACACTGACATTACATTTTGAATTGATATGGATATATTGATATGTTAGCATTTATTTAGAGTCATGTATCTGGGCACTTTATGAATGAAATATCAGTATCAAAATTTAAATACCTGGGGCATCAATGTAACCACACCTCCTCAGTATGACTTTTTGGAGCTGTATAACATCATGATACTTCCCGTTTTTCTACTGAACGTAAATATCTATCATCTCAAGCTATTTGAACAAACAAACTATGCAATTTTTCATAACATAAACATATGTAGCTTCCCATTGCATCATGTGTCCTCACGCATCACTAGGTGCTCAGCTCATGTTAATCTGTAGCTGTGCTCAACATCGGCCCAGCCAACCAAAGCGAAACTCAGGGAGACTGACCACCTGCGCAGATGGACCACACAGAAGCAACTGGCAGCCATAGAACAGGGCATGTTTTAGTTTGATTCTCAGAAACATGGAAGGCATTTTAGGACTCCTTCTAAAGGGGAAAAACATGATTGTCACTCTTCCACAGTTTATGTTCCCTACAGCAAATGAAAAAGCTAGTTATTTCATTTCAGTATTTGGATTTGTTTATATTCACTGACCTGAGAAATGGTAGTTTGGCAAAACAATCCCTACTCAAGGACCACTTGCTAGATTCCTCCCCCCCCAGCCCCGACTAGATTATAAACAACTGTATTACACATCTTTCATCAGCAGATGACGTTTGCTCAGTTGTTATGAAGACAGATCTGTTGACATGTAAACTGTTTTGTTGTTTTTCAACCATGACACTAGTTAGAAAAAGCTTGTAACTGGGCCTGGAGTTTTGTCAGACCACTACAAATTTAGAGCAAACATACTTAACTCTGAAGCCAAACACTGACAGTAAGTCTTAAAATGCGTCATCACAACACCAGCTGAATTTGAATGCCTATCCACAGCACAGACAAAATGCATGTTAAATGAGGCTTACCCATCAAAACAAACATAAGCTACATTAATTTTATGTTTAATTATGTCAAAGAATTGTTCCTTTTTTCTCCCACTGCATAATATTTTAGTACTATATGTACTTTTGTCTGTGCAAGTGGAGTAATACTGTATAATGTATAATGCAATAGGATAAGTATTAGATTCCCTGTCCTTTGTACAGTCACCCATACTAATGCAGTAATGGGCTCTACATGCATTTCAAGACTACACAGTTCTAGCGCGAGTCTTCAGCTTTTTAGTTCCAGGAAATATCCTTATCACTTTTCTGCTTGGTGTTGATCCACAACCAGACCAACAGACTAATTCAGCTACAGTATATTTGGCTGTTGTTGGAGGCACAGTGTGTGCGCATGTGTCTGAGAAGCTAACAGTACACACACACACACACACACACACACACACACACACATATATGTAATTGTCCCAACTTATCTATTCCTAAAATTCTTTTTGGCCTTAGATACACAAAACTGTCAGCCAGGCAAATTTCTTTGTAGAATACACACACAAACACACACCTAAAAACACAGCTTATGTAGACAGCTACAATTTGAATACAATATTATGTGCGCAGACAGGGTTGATATATGAAACCATTACAAATCCTTCAGTCTCTTTTGTCCATCATCCCTCCTTGGCAGCCCTCCCTCCCTGCTCACTACTCTGATCCTCCCACACACAGCTGCTGCTCTTGGTCCTTCTGTCTCCCTTTTTCGTCATAACTGTGGCTTTTTTTTTGTTTTGCTCTTCTTTCATTACTTGAAACAAAAGGATTTTTATTATACTGCATATTTCATCTTCATAACACTGCATGCTTGTTTTGTTCATGGTCTTTCTTAGCAAAAACAACAATAACATCTCTGAACAACTCTGAAGCTCTGCTAGTGCTGCATGGGAAATGTCCCCAGTGCTGTCACAAGCAAGGGTTCATTTTCACTTTGACATCACCAAACTAAACATCCCTCCCCTGCATTGTGTAACTTCTTGTCTTATCTCAGTGGCTGGCAGCTTTAATTACAACCAATTTTAAGTCTAATTTAATTCAAACAAAGCTGTGGGGGGAAACAACATTAAGGCTCAATGACTCTGCCATATTCATTTTGTGATGTAACCCACAAGCTACACACTGCTGGGGTTGAGACCAGATACGCAATTGTGTGTATTCACTGTATTCACAAGATAAGATTTTATATCATAGCAAAGGCTATATCATCCTTGAATACAGATGTGAAAAGTGTGCACTATGACTGTGCCATTCTGCTGCTGTAAGAAATAGGATAGATGCAGTATTATTGGTAGTGAACATAAAACACACACACACTCCTCTCTGGGGAGTGTATACACTTCCATGTGGATCAGTAAATGTATATATTCACCTAAGGGTCAAAATATGTTCATAAAAGAACAAAAAACTGCAGAAGGGCTCT